CAAAGTATTAATCAAACCTGGCAGCTGGCCATGAGACAGACACATCGCAGATGACACAGCGCTGTGATCACTCCTAAATTAACTTAAAATCCTGAAACCTGCCGACAGAATATGTTCGCTTTTATTACCGGTATCCTGGTGCCTGCAGCTAAAATTATTTAGATGAAAAACACCTGCCAGCAGCCGCGGTGAACGAAAGGATTTCTCCTGTCGGTGCACCGCTGGTATGTGGGGGTCTGAGCGCCTCCGACAGAAATAGATAATCTGGATGAACTGACTGCAATTATTAAGTTTTCAGGTGGCCTTTCTCACTTAAAAACATATTAAAACTACTTTATTCCCACTGATCACAGCAAATATAGCTGCAAGATTTAGATTATTTAGATGAAAAAACACCTGCCAGCCACCGCGCTGAAGAGGAGGAGGAGACCAGAGGCTGCTGTTGAATTAAGTTTTCAGGTAGAAAAATAGAGCGGGAGCAAACCTGAGTATGATTGTGCTTTATTCATGTATTTATTACAAAGTATTAATCAAACCCATCAAAGTCATCATCCTCTGTTATCCTCAGCATTCCTCTGAATTAAACAGCTGCGCTAAATCAGACATGCCAGTTTCCCCTTCTGCGCTGTCAGTCACTTTCCGTGCAGCGCGGCTCCTCAGAAATAATGCCGGCTTTTGCGAAAGCTTGAACAACAGAGTCAGCAGACACAGTCCATCTACAATCCATCCGCAAACGGTGGCGTAACTTGCCCGGCGCTGCCTTCCATTTATCATGAAACTGTGGTCTCAGTCTGTCATCCATCGCTCCCACGCCGCTCGCAGCCTTACTTTGAACGGCCGCCTCACACCGATGTCGAGCGGTGGAAGTTCCTTTGTCAGACCCCCAGGATAACGGCGAGCACAGCGTTCATTTGATTCATCTTTTTTTCACATCGGCTGTGAGATGGGCACGCAGCAATGGTGATGCGTGGAAAAAAACCACCTAGTCTTCTCACATACACCTGTCTCAGCCACGCATCCACCCAGCCTTTTCATTTGCGTTAATATCATCAGAGCGCTGTGTCTCGCTGTCAGCTCCCAGATCAGCTTCTCTGATTGGTTGATGCGGCGCGTCCAGCAGCAAAACTTCAATTTTTCCATATGAGCAGCAGCAGCGCGTTGGCGGTGCGTCAGATGCTTAAACGCTCCCGACGTGCTGCACCAAAACGCGCTGCGGGACCTTTTGCTGCACCTATACGCGCGTCAACCATTGACTTTGCATGTAAACTCGCTGCTTCTGCTGCACCTGCTGGGTCCGGTTCACACCGATGTCGAGCGGTTGAACAGCGAGCACAGCGTTAATTTGTTTCCCCATGTTTTTCACATCAGCTGTGAGATGGGCACGCATGGAGTTACATATTAACAGCGATGGTGAGGGGTGGAAAAAAAAACACCTGGTCTCCTTACATTCAGCCACTCTTTCATCATCTCCTCAATGAGGTGGTCTCAAAAGTCGCAGTTACAACACACATAGGGCGCACCGCACCATAGGGCGCACCGCACATTTTGAGGGAAAAAAAAGACGTTTAAGTGCGCCTTATAATCGTGAAAATACGGTATATATACCGGTATTTTTTTATTATTATTATTATTTTAGTCCCACTCTTCTTCACCCCATACTAATCCAACTGACCCAGTGCAGCTTTATCTTAATGAGATCTCCTCAGTTAGGCCATTTACAGCCATGAAGAGCAAAGTTAGATAAGATAGAACAGAAAGCTGTGCAAGGCACTGCTGTGTGCTGCTCACAACTACGGAGAGGCAAAAACAACAGGGACATACAAATACATGCATGTGTCTGTTAGAAGGAACTCCCCACAATTTGTGGAAAACAAACTACATCTCTGTGACCAACTATCACCATTTCCAACTTGTTAGCATGGAACATCACCTTTGGTTGTCCTAGCAGTCACTTAAAGTTGCAAGATGACATCATCGCCAAATTAGCATATTTGGTAATGCTTTGATCCAACTACTTAGAGGAATGTCAACATCAGCAAGACAAAGTGATTAGAAACCCTAAATATATCCATCCATCCGTCCAACCATTGGCACATCAAAACATCCATCTAACCATCCCTCCATCCATCCATCCGCCCATCCATCCACCCAGACAACCCTCCAGCCGTCCATCCGTCTGTCCGCCCATCCCTGCATCCATCCATCTTCTCCCACTTAGCCATCAGGGTTACTCTACACATGTTTTGGTTTATATTAGGCCAAACTACATAAACCCATCTTGCCATATTATCAAGTTCATATTAAAGAGACTTAGGAGAGGCACATGTAGTGGATGAGCCTGTGTATGCATGATTTAAATGCAGGGAGGGATTTAGTGTTAACAGCTTGGCAAAAAAGTCACCAAAGTCTCCAACAACACAGAATAAATGTGCAAAATTTTTGAAAATTGCTTATTTGAAAAATGTCAATAGAGGGATCTGAGAAGTGCCAAAATATCGAGAGTCCCTTAGTTGGCAACGGTGGGAACTATCATGCAGTTTCCTTTCCTTCCAAGCTACCAGGGCAGGAATTTGGCCAACCTCCAATGCTGCTACATAAGCTCCTAGGCCAAAAGTTGTCATCCAGGCTGCATGTAGACATCATTATGAGAGGGGTGAAGTGTGTGAAAAAAGGGGAAGGTGGTTGCCAAGATAACATTTTTCTCAAAGACTGTGTGTTCATAAATTACAGTTGACAAGCTGCTAGTATCGAGTCAGGAGAGGCGGCTGACTGGAGGTTTGCTGCCTGACTGGATAGTCCAAGCCATAACCAGCTATCAGTTTGTTACAGAGCTCACAGAGGTATATTTTCTGCTCCTACAAATATATTTGCCATTTAGTTCAATGATAATTTAAATTATAAGCAGCTAAAATATGTCATACGTTTTCTTTTATAATTTTAAATGGAAGGACATTTAAACTTACAGGCAGGCAAGGAAGACAGTGGAGATCTGAGTATTGGCAAACCAAGAAAATGTGTATTAGGTATTGTGCTTCAATTTTGTTATCAAACTTACTACTTCCTTGGAATAATATATGTTACCAGAGTGGTTTGTGTTGGAGTGGCACTAAGAGCCAGTAATAGTGATGTTCATAATATAATCAGTGCCATTTGCAAAAGTGGGTTCAGTCTTATTATATCTTATTTGGTGAAATCTCACCAGTAGGACATGTCTGTAGAGAAAGTAAGGTTAAAGAAAAAGTCAATGTATATGCATAAAGATGCATTGTACTTGTCTGTTTTTCATTTTCCTACCCCTGTCAAGAATCTCACCATGGAAAGTTTTGTCATCTGGATGATGTGCAACATACCGCTGTCAACACGTACTGCACCTTTACGTCAGTTGAACATCAAAATTTAATGGCTTCTCCCACCATCCGTGTTCTTCCGCCTGTTTTCAAGGCTTCTTGAAATTCTACCTGGTGGTTTTTCTGTTGTTTTGTTGACAAACCGCTGTCAATACATACCTCAACCACATTCTTTGCTTCAGGCTAAGGAAATCTTATTACTATTTCATTAAAATGTATTGTGCATAGCTGAGGGAATCCAAATAATCATTCATCTGAAAAGGCTTTTATTAAAATAATGAGGTAAGAGAAAGGATTAGAAAGCGGTTTTCAAAAAAGTGGTTCAAAGAGACAGATTTAACTTGGTTTACTTCGATTTTAATCTGAGCATCACAAAGAATCATTGATATCTTCTCCTATAAATGGTTTAAAAATAAGTCATCAATCAAGTCTTTTGCTCATGAAATTAAGTAGTGGCAAAATTACATTTGTGGCAAAGCTGTCTATGAAATAACACTATTCCAATAGTAGAACAAGTTTATCAAGAACACAGCCAAAAAGAATAAGGACGGAGAAGTTTTTGCTTTAAATTAACTGAAACCTTTTCAAATCTTTACAAGTTTAAAAAGGTAGTCAGCGGTAAATCTAAAAAGACACAAAGAAAATGTGACAATTTTGTGATACTTGGAGATTATTTACTAGCTATCTATCTCTGCAAAGTTATTAGAGTATGCATAAGGTAAGGTTCATCAATTCATCAATAAATCACCCAACAATAGAGAGTCCAAGTCTGATGGAAAGGATTTGATAAGGGTCTTAAAACGGAGAGATGCGGGAAGTAAACTTTAAAGACACAGCGGTGCTGCTTTTGTAAAACATGATAGGTCCATATATTAAAACTGAAAGATACAATTATTACTTATGTAACTGAATGAAGCTGTACTTTTCACAAGGGTAAATCTCTATACTTTTTTGTAGCTTGTAGTTTTTGATTTTCAATTCTAGGGGAATGGTGGCCTAGTGGTTGGGGAAATGCGCTTGGAATCCAGAGGTTCTGAGTTCAAGTCCCCCTCCCACAGACTGACACTCTGGGTCCCTAAGCAAAGACCCTCAACCTCATACTGCTCCCCGGGTAGTGACAATGACAATGACAATGACAGCCCACTTCTCCCCAAGGGGATGGGTTAAATGCAGAGAGTTAATTTCGTTGCTCTGTACTTGTGAAAGTGTAATGGGCGACAGTGGCGTTGGATGTAGGAGTTTGCCCTGAAATCGAAGGATTGACTGTTCAACCCCCGGCTCGGACTTTCAGTGTCGTTGTGTCCTTGGGCAAGACACTTCACCTGCATTGTCTACTGATGGCGGTCAGAGGGCCCGGTGGCGCCAGTGTACGGCAGCCCCGCTTCTGTCAGTGAGCCCCAGGGCAGCTGTGGCTACAATGTAGCTTGCCACCATCAGTGTGTGAGTGTGTGTGTGAATGGGTGAATGACTGAAAGTAGTGTAAAGCGCTATCGTCAAGTCTCCTGACTTGAAAAAGCGCTATATAAGTACAGGCCATTAATGACTATAAAAGCTTCCTAGTCTGACACTAGAGGTTGTAGGCTTATGTATGATACCAACTAATTTTAAAGGGAGGTCTTACCTTTTTAATCATATGATTGGTGAGAAATATCTACTCTCAAATGACTGTCAGAAATGGGGATAAAGAGAAAAAATCCTTACTGACACAAAAGGAAAGAAATGCAGCTGTGTTCTCAGTTTGCTTACCACCAGGTCAGGATCCTGCATGAGGCTTAGGATCACCTCATAGAGCAAAGGCCGAAGATCTGATTTAAATTTGACGGAGATCCATTGCCCTATCAGCCAGATGACTCGTCTTCGTATCAGCTTGTACCTGAAAGGGAGGGAAAGGCCGGCAATTAGTTCCGTCTCATTTGAAATGGTTTATTATAAAGAATTAGAGGTCAAATTTGAGCACGGATACAATTCAGAGAATATTACCATGATTTATCAAAGGGAAAATATTTTAGTTTGTAAAAAAATAAAAATTGTTCTATTATTTAGAAAATAGAAGGCTGGTTATAATCTACGATAAACACTGCTGCATTCTTTTAATACAAAGAGTTCAAAATAGTTTCTCTGTTGAGCATCTTAAATATGTCAAATTTACACTGTGTACTTTTAAAAAAAAATTTACTCTACTTAAACGTATACTTCCCATGAGACATACAGCCCAAAAGTTATTATATATGATTTGTAAAACAGAGAATAGAATACAGTGAAGATGTAAAAATAACATCAGAATGGTTAAAACAACAATAACAGCTCAACAGAAGAAGTCAGAGGAATGGTAAAAGCAGGGAACTCTAAGCAGAAGAAATAGAAAACCAGAAGGCTTTAAAAACCCATCTGGGCCTCATGGTGTGTGTTATGAATTAAATTGCTCTGCCCTGCATGTCTATCAGTGATGGGTTTGTTTGTTTTTTTTTCAACAGTTGTTTTGGGCGAGTGTCCCAGAGCATCTGCCCTTTAAAATTCTGAGGAAGAAGAAGAATCGTGTCAAGGGACAGTCTCGACAGAAACGGTGGAATAGAGACAGGAATGAGCTGAAAAATGGAAAGATAAAGGATAGGAGAGAACACACTTGTTGGTCTGTTGTCAAATATCCACTGGGAGACAAGAGAGAGACCAGCAACTAGGCAACTATCCAGAAGAGTCTTAACAACAGCATGAATCCTCGTTCCAAAACAACAAGTGTGTTAGTGTATTACTGGTCTATGTCAGATAAGGTAAAACTTTTCTTTTTAATTTTTACAATTATCTCCCACATTAAGCCAAATTAAGGTTTGAACTACCTTCATTACCTTAACATGATAAGCTGATCCATAATCTCTCTACATCAAAACCATCGATATACACATATATCCAAATGTTGATATGGCAGCATGTCTCCTGTGCTAGGATGGAACTGGGCATTTTAGCTGAGCACATGATCCTGCATAAATTCCACTGCTAACAACTGAGGAGTAGCTATTCAGTCTGAAGGAATACATTTTATTTTGTGTAATGAAGGATTGCTGAAGAGTCTCTTCACATTAATATAGGGATGTTTTGTCCCTTATACAATATGCATTCATAAAGATGTCTGATATCACAGTTAAGCTAAAGCAAGTCAATAACAAGAAGTTAAAATAAGTATGGTTATTTTTTTCCCATTATTAACGTAAAACAGAAATGCATTTCTCTAAATTGTATTAAACCAGCCTATTAACTTGTGTGTATGTATGTGTTTTCCAATTGAATTTGATTTTCTGGCATAATTTTAGAAAATGTTAATAAAAAAATATACCTAAACTATACCTCTGGTGTTTTTTTTAAACTGCATTGCAGTGGTGTTTCCTCAGTTCTATCACATAGTTATATCAATTTATTGTTTGGTGAATTTCTTGAAGGTTGCTTACATGTTGATTTCTTATTTTAATTTCTGCAAAAGTAATTTGTGTTTCAAATAAAAGTTTGGTTGATTGATGAAACCAAAAGGAACACACAAATATAGATTATAGTGTAAATTGCCAAGGCAGCGAGGTTCACTCTAGTGAGCTTCATATTCCTCTTCTGCTACAAGTAGCGCCACACATTGTGAGCTGTAGCTGCGTGCAACGATTGAAAAAAAAAATTGCACAGTGTATGCCCGGCTTAATGAAATTAAACTTGAGGTCTACAGTTTAAATTTAGCTTTCCAGACCGTTACTCAAAATCAGGGGAATTCAGAAATCCTAATTTTCACATCAGAAATGAATGCCCCGTTAACACTAGCGGTTACCCTTAAATGTATTTTATTTCGTTCATTCATTTTATATCATGATTTGTTCCCAATCAAAACGCTGTATTACTGTATTTCTTATTGTCTAGTACTGTGAAATGTTGACAAAATAAGGACTCAAACTCAATGAAAAATAAAGGCCGTTATTTTGATCAGTTGGAAAAATGTAGTAAAATGTGAAGAATGAAATGTTTCAATTGGTATTCTGGGTAAATGCAAATCCACTGTCAGCCTACTGATAGCGCCTCCTGGCTGATAATTCTTGATGAAAGAAAAAAAACGAGGCAACTTTTTTGACGCAATGTTATGAGTCTCATAACCTTTAATCTACTCAGTTTTGGTAGCAGCCACTAAATGGAGAAACATGAGCTGTGCCTTCTGGACTGAAATCATTATTTAGTCACTGTGTCTTCTAAGCTCAAATGAGATTGCTGTGCCAGGCTTTAAATGGATAACTCTAATGCTGCAAGTGAACAATAATTTGTGAAGGACGTAATACCTGATGCAGCTGAGGAGGCTGCAGTTGATAGTGCTTATTTTATCACACTCTGAATGGGAACAGGTGAATGGTAAGGCAGACAGGGGTTCCTGTCCATCAGTCACAGGTCTGATATGACTCACCCACACCATACCTGTCCTCCCACATTACTTCACAAAGCTGTCATATACCTCTGTTTATCAATCTCAGAAACACATGGGTAATCTGAACAAAATATGGACTAAACAGAAAGGGAAAAACTGTTTTTATATAACCCTTGCACCAGGTGTTTACTTCTATTGTCTATTTTACTTGTGTATAGTAGTTGGCAAGAAACCAACTTATCTGCATAAATCGAAACATTAAAATCATGATCTGAGTTGTTTTATACAACTAAAACAGATGAATACTTTTAATTAAAATGTAAGATTAAAAATGTGACTCATCTGATACATGGAAAATATCAAAACATTTCGCTCTAAAATGGTTTAAATTGAGTTTATTCTAAAGAACAACTGACAATTAAATATGTTGTTTACTTGGTTGTTATTTACCAGCTGAGAAAATTTAATTGGGGAGAAAAGGTACAATAGTGTACCAGATGTGAGGTAAGATGTTTAAAAAAGGTTTTTCAACAGACCTGTCTGATTCATTTAAAAACCTATAGAAACTACTGCCTGGGTAATTGAATGGATTTAAAAAGGTCAGTGTGGTGTTTCCTTCTCACTTTCAATTTCATTTCCCCCACTGCAAACATACCAAAATATATTACTGTACTTTATGTTTGCAATATAACAGAAGACAATCAAGAGCCAATCCTCAGTGTCAATTTCTAGCTGTAATGAAAAGATGAAGAGAACCAATACAGACTAATTTCATAGTGTGCATTGGTTACCCAGGAGGGCAACAGTCTCAACCGCAAAAAGGTCAAGCCGCAAACGACAATGTCAAAATGCCAAAGTGTTTTTTTTTTTTTTTTCCCAATCTACTACTGTGACAGTAGAATGATGAAACACCCTCTCTTTATCCACAGTCTGTGAAGGTGACACAAGAAGCTCTTTCTTCCTGTAGAAATGTCCTTTTCAGTGATGGTAACGGCAACAACATACCGCCACATTTTGCCCGAAGCAATAGAATCAAAATACAAGCGTCAGTATTACTGTCCCACTTCCAGACTGTAGTCATTATTACTACTTTGAGAATTCACGCATTTGCCTAAGGGCAGAACACAAAACAGAATACCAACAAATTTTTGATTGATTTACTGTTTTTAATATTGCCTTAATTGTATCATATGACTGCTGTATATTTTGCTTACAGCTCTTTGGTCATGTTGATGTTTCTCTATGAATAAAGTTGATGTTGGGGAAGATATATTGCTCGTTAATTTGAAGGTGGAGCACTCGAGCAAAAGACCATTAGCCTCAGATATCCCCAACAATCTAATAGACTGGTTTGCAGATTTTCTATCACTGTAATATGTATTGCAAGGTGTAAGATCTCATATTTTAGAGCGTTGCTGGTCAGTGACAGTTGTGTTGATTCTAAAAAGGTGCAACACTGTGTGTAGGAGCTAGGGCACTGGTGGTGAAATTCCTTTTACAAAAAAAATAAAAATCTATTGCAACCTGGCTCTTCTGGTGGCCCAAGTGTGTATGCTACAGTGACAAATATATAGAGGAGCTAAGATGGGGAATATTTACTTCCACTAAAGAGGTTGTTTTTTTTTCAGTGTGAGTGCCTTTCTGTCTGTCTCTGTGTGTGTACAGGATAACCTGAAAAGTTATAGATAGAATTTGATGACTTTTTCTTTTCCAAAGGTGTCCTTCATGCCAGAAGAACCATCAATTACATTTTGATGATGATCCAGATCACAATCTGGTTACAAATTGTTCTTAGATTCTTGGATTGTGAGATAGGGATATGTGGCAGATCAAGCAGTTCCCCACTAAACCAGACGGTGGCAGCAGTGATTATTGACAGCCTCAGCATCGAGCTCAAATTAAACGTTGGTTTGTTAGCCTGACCAATTAAAAACATATGAACTTTGTGTGTAAACTTATGCAAAGGAAAAATGTATTCAAATTTGTTAATGATCCATATCATGTGCACGTTTTACCTATAGGTGTAAGTAACAATATGGGGCAAAATCTGCTGCCTTTTATGGAGTGCTTTTCTTCCTACCAATATTTTCATATTTCTCTGTGTATTTAAAATGAAACGAATAAGCAATAGTGTTCACATCGAAAGCATTTTGGTCATCAAAAATGCTAAAACACCAAAATTTGGATTCTGGATAAAACGCTGGTCTAGATTTTTTGACGTTTCGACACTCTGGATGCTCGCCACTCTGGTCGTTGATCTGCTCTGTTCTGTAGATTCAAGCTAGAGAGCACCTTGGCTTTATTTACTTTGATGAGTTGGAAAAAAGGTTTAAACACATTTTTAAGAGAGATCCACCTCCAAATTTCATCTGTGGAGTCCGTTAATCAGGATTACGATCCTACTAAAATATGCATTTCGGAGCGCCAGAACTCCAGCACACCACAGGGAAGCAGCACTGAAAGCTCTCTGCTGCCCTAACCCGCTGCCA